TTCACTCTTCATAGGTGCCAAGAAGAATAAGGATGTAGATGACACATATTTGTTTTTTTGGACTAAAGTAATACGTACGTACCCACAGACATTCCCTCCGCTTGCTTTTTATTAGTTCTTTTCTTCTCTCAATTTTTTTATGTTGAAATTTTAGGGGTTATTTATCGTATAGAGTATGAATTAAGTATTTGCAATTGAGGTTTATCAATTAGGGATTTGAAATCGGGGCTTATCGGTTTATGAGTTGCAATTTATTTTCATTTTGTTGAATTATCAAATGGGGATTTGAAATTGATTTTAGTATTCTTGCTTGTATGAATTATCAATTAGTGATTTTGATAAATTAATTGGTTGTTGATATGTTGATTGCAGATGTGACAAAAGCTTAGTTTCCTGGTACACATATAAGAATGGCCATCAACTCGAACAATTCAGTTACCATCCCTCAATTCTAACTCCAGGGATATCATCTTCAAGACCAGTCTCATATCCCTGCAAGTGAATTTTTTCCAACTTATTGCAGTAGTGTTGTGTGTAGGTTAATTAGCATGTGTATACAGGCTAATTTGAGTTTGTATTTGGAAATATGATGATAATTTCAATTATGTATTTAAATATGGGAAAACTTATGTATATATTTAATGTAATATTACATTCATATTTGGTTTTTTTATACCATATTTATTTCTTGTTCCCAAATGCCCACAAAACCTTAATTTTTTTAGTGTTGTCATATGACGTCTATTTTTAATACATACACATATGAAACAGTAAAATAATTTTTAATAATACAGACAAAATATGTAATACATATTTTTCACCAAAAATAACTATTTAAAAATGAAACTAAAAACTACCAAACTTTGTATTAGAGCGACGACCAATATGGTCGCAAAGTTGTATAGTATGAACATGCTATTGGCGACGGATGAGTTTTCTATTAGCGACGATGGACTGTGGTTGGAATTGATAATCGGCGACGATTTGGATTTTCTCGTCGCAAAATATTCAAATTAACCGCCAAATATGGGGGCACTCAGACGACGCATTAGCGACAACTATTTTCAAAATTTGCGACAAAATGAATTGGTCGTATGACAACATACATGACCAAATGTCAATTTCGTGGGTAAACATATTCTACCACGCACTTTCACCGACGACCCAGGGCGACAAAGTAGTTTGGTCATGCATGGCCCATGGTGACCAAAATAGAACCATTGGCGACGAAAGGTGTTTGTCGCCAATTGTATTTTTTCTTGTAGTGTCTATAGTCTTTCTAGAAATAAAAATATAATATACATTAAATCATATAAATCGCTCTAGTTCATAATTTCATTGACTAATCTTTAATACATTTTTTTTTCTTTTATTACAAACTCTATTTGTGGAGAGGGGAATCGGACTAGGACCTCGAGTGTATGGCTAAATGCTAATTTCCAATAAGGTTTAACATAAAACAAACACATACTAATGAAACCAAAAGGCACATATTATAAAATGAAAAATAGGTTCGACAACATAATTGAAAATGTACCTATTTTAATATGTATTTTTATTGATGTCTTGCAATTAAACTCATAAAGAACTGGACTTTTTTGGACTTGTAATAAGTTAATATATATATATTGGGCTATTTTAAAACAAGTCAAATATATAGGTTTCATTTTTTTAATCCCCAAAACTCCCCCTAGGCTACAACCCACCTTAGTCATTAAGGTAGTTCCTAAGTTATAACCCACCTTAGTCATTAAGGTAGTTTTTCCACCCATGGAAGAAGGAGCCAAACAAGGATACAGATGCTTTGCTTTGATTTTCTCTGTTAGAATTTGCTTGATTTTCAATCTCTATACGTCATCTGATTTAAATTTAATATAACGGATTTAAAATTGATACAACAACCCTAAAATAAAAACTCAATTTCATAAATTTTGAAAAATAAAAAAAAATTCCTTAATTATACAAACGCCAAAAGTCTGCAGCTCTTCTTTTCGTCAAACTTAATACAATGGAAACCCACCAAAATACACAAGAAAAGTCAATCTACAAGTGATAAAAAGAATAATTTGGGGAGAGAAGGACGACATAGAGAAAGGAAAACATTTGTATATTACTGAAAAATATAAGAGGAAAAAAAAGGCATTAAATTTGGCGTTTCTTTAAGAATTTTTTTTTATTTTGTTAACTTATTTTTTAGGAAATATTTGTATGTTTTAAGATTAATGTTATACTTATCACATTTTTATCCCACATTTTTATACCACATGATGTGGTATGTCCATATCATATGCCACATCAATTAAATCAATGAAGTATATTTTAATTAAGAAATTAGAAAAACAAATACTGGAATAAATCATAAAAGAAAAAAAAAAGTAAAATAATTTTAATTGATGTGGCTGTCCACCTTAGCTTCCACCTAAGGTGGTATGAGAATGTGGTAAGAGTTGCATTATTCATGTTTTAATTATGAGAAAATTGGAATTTATTATTGTTAATGATGTGTCAACTTTAAACTCTTTGAATTGAAATTTAAACGATGTAGCGTATGAAGGATGAAAGTCAAGCAAAGGATTTGAATTCGCCAACAATGTCCCTCTTTGTTTATATATATGTTCACCCAACATGTACAATATATAGCGTAATCTTATAAAAAGAAAATCGTGCAATATGGATTTTATAATATTAATTATCAACTTTCTTTTGTTTTGCCTACTAAAATTTTCAAGCATTAAGTTTACTGTTTTGTTTTTTTATTGAAGAAATATTGCGAGATGGAGGAAAATAATGAATGGGTTGTTTTTTAATACAAGGCTGTATTTTATTTTGCAACTTGATCGTTTTGCTATATTCTAGTTGTTTTTGTTATGCAAAACCGAATTAACTAATGAATGGATTAAAGCGACTTTTGCTTTCTATCACGACCAAGACTTCCAGCTGCTTTGTTATATATTTCTCATATATATATATATATATAATTTTATTTGAGGAGTACCCTACGATTTTTTTTTCAACAATCCAAACTGTTTATTTTTCAAGTCTTTATTCATAGATTATCCTTACAAAAAATCAGAAAAATTGAAAATCATTAAGGCATCTAATTGCTAGCAACAAAATAGATGAACACTATATTTCAAGAAAATACTAAAATAACAATAATCTAATTGAGTAGTCAAATGGTTTCAAATTCAAGTGATTTTTTTACAGATATGATCTTTGAGGGAATATCTAAAAAATTAGACAGTTCGGATCATTAAAAAATAATGTGTGGTGGACCTTACAAGAGTGTTTCTCAAATAAGTTTTCTCAATTGAAGTTGACTTTATATATATGATGACAATCATCATGTTGTTTATATAAAAGGAATTAGCAAGGAAGTTGCGCACACTTAATTATACAGCCAAGACAATGAGAGACTAGCAACCCAAGTTTCGAAGAGCTTTATTACATATTGATGTTATTGTGATGAAAACATTACGTGAGGTGAGGTATGTGTTGAAAGCATTGTCCCGCATCGAAATAATTTGCCTCCTGAAATTTTATTTTGTTTCATTTGATTTATTAAACTTTTATCTCTGAGTAGACTAAATTAAATTCAAATACTTTACGAATGTATTATGTATTAGGTACGTAGGTATTGACTTAGACTTTTCATATGTTGACTTTGGAAAGTACTGTAATTTCCATTCCCCCCCCCAAAACACACATTAAGATAATCAACTTCTGCTCTCCAACCCTAAACCCTAAGACTTTATCTTATGTTGCCTTCACTGAAACTGACGAGACTATTTTGGTAGGTGATGCAGCATTTAACCAAGTCCTGAGAAACACCACCAACTCAATCTTTGGTACGTAGGATTAAAATTATCATGTTTTGTTATAACTGTTTACCGTCTCCTTTTTAATTCTGTTCACTCATATTTCTTTACTTATCACTTAGAACTAATCATCATAAGTAGTTGCATTTTCTTAAGCTTAAGATTTTCTAGGAAGTTAAAATTTTATATGTATCAGTAAAGAAGCTATTATATAAACAGTAACGCTACTTTGTTTACCAACTTTAGTGATACCAAATTACGCGGACCACGTCATCTTTTCTTAATTATTTAGTCCAAAAAAATTGAAACTTGAACCATTTACAAATTTTTAAAAAAAGAAATCTGATATACTCCCTTCATCCCGAGATCTGCCATGGCCTCGGTTCTTCCAGAAATATTTCATGGTTTCCGTCTAATCAAAGGGGCAAAAAAAACAGATCCAAAATTTTTCACACTTCAGTTTAGATTTTATCAATGTTGTAAACAAAAAAAGTCGAGATAATTATATAGGCCCTCCTTGAAACAACTAGGAAGCTATTGAAAGGGCTTGAAATCTCAAAAGAGTTGTATTTCTTGTAGCGAAAATCTGTTGCATTCGAAGGAGTGGTGAGTATAGAAAACTACATCCAATCTATGTGTAAAAGGACAAGTTTCAGGCTTAAAAACCCTAGAAATATTACTAGGTAACCAGTAGAGGAGAAGAAAACAAAGATTAAAGAACTATAGCCAATGACATTTGAAAACTCTTACCTCTATGACTGGGGAAAATGATATTCAAAGAGAGAAAATAAATCCAAATTTTTTTCACAATTCACATATAACGTATATCGTGGGTTTGGATCTCAATGGTCATGTCATATTTGGGGGAGTGGAGGACATGGCAGATCTGGGGATTGGCATTGATTTTTTTCGGTTTTTTCTTTTTTATTTATTCTATAAATGGTTTAAGGTTTTACTTTTAATAATTATGTCAAAATATGATTAATAAAAACAAAATGATGTGGTAAATGACATGACTTGTCACGTCATGTGTCTCGTAAGTTAGTATTACTAAAGTTGGTAAAGAAGGTGGTGTCCATACCATTATTGTTATACAAATGCCTACTTAACTCAACCATGAAATATTTAATTCCTGTATGTGATAGAAATAGAATTCTAAATAAACTTGGCATCAATTTGTAGATACAAAGCGGCTAATCGGTAGGAGATTCAGTGACACCTCTATTCAAAGTGATGTGAAGCACTGGCCATTCAAGGTGGTTGAAGGTACAGCTGACAGGCCCATGATTGTGGTTACCCACAATGGCCAAGAGAAACAATTTACTGCGGAAGAAATCTCTGCCATGGTTCTGAAAAAGATGCGGAAGATTGCCGAGACCTACCTGGGCTCAACTGTGAAAAATGCAGTTATCACTGTCCCTGCTTACTTCAATGACTCCCAACGTCAGGCTACAAAAGAAGCTGGCCTCTCTGCTGGCCTAAATGTGATGCGCATTATGAACGAACCGAGTGCTGCTGCCATTGCTTATGGCCTCAGCGAGAAGTCCAGTTGGAATAGCACGAGAAATGTGATGATATTTGATCTGGGTGGAGGCACTTTAGATGTGTCATTGCTTACCATGACTAGTTCTGGTGACTTTCAAGTCCTGGCGACCTCTGGAGACACTCACCTTGGGGGCGAAGACTTCGAGAACAGAATGGTGAAGTATTGTGTCGAGGAATTCAAGAGGGAGAAGACATTGGACGTTAGTGAAGACTTCAGAGCTCTTAGGAGGTTAAAAAACCAATGTAAGATGGCAAAAGAGAGTCTCTCATTTGAGTCTGACTTTGACATTGAAATTGATTGTTTGCGCTCGGGTATTGATTTCACTATAACTTTTACCCGTGAGAAATTTGAACAACTGAATATGGATTTGTTCAACAAGTGTATGGAGCCTGTGGCCAAGTGCTTGACGGATGCGAACATGCACATAAGCCATGTCCATGATGTTGTTCTTGCTGGTGGCTCTTCTAGAATTCCCATGGTGCAAGAGCTATTACAGAAGGTTTTCAAGGGGAAGGAGCTGTGCAAGGGCATCAATCCGTATGAGGCAGTGGCATGTGGTGCCGCCATTCAAGCTGCAATCTTAAGTGGGAATGGAAATGGGAAGTTCATTGAAGACTTCACCCTCTCAGATGTCACTCCTCTGCCACTTGTTCTGGAGTTTACCGATTATGATACAGTCAAGAGACTCTGGGACTTAATTCCAAGAAACATTAGAATTCCTACGATCGAGAAAGTGCATTTTAATACTGTTCAGGACGATCAAGCTTTAATGAACTTCTTGTTGTGAAAAATGGACAAAACACTTTCACTCACTCCCCTAATGATCTTGTTGTTGATGGACTTTGTGACACACACAATGATGGATGAATCACACACACACACTTGAGACAACAACCAAGCACAAAGTGACACAAGAATTTATAGAGGTTCAGCAATTGCCTACATCCTCTTGGTGATCCCCTTGAGAAATTCACTTCATGAAAGAATAAGTTACAACTTTGGTTTTACACAGAAAACCCCCTTAGAACTCTAT